GCAATTGAGAAATTACCTAGCCCAATTCAAATTGTTTCTAATGAGTCAACAAACCTTTCTAAGAATTATCGATATTGGTACACTGAATCTAACTGGTTCACTAACAACCCAAACATGACCTCAGAAAATGGGTTGTATTGATTAGATTTAAATGTAAGTTTATAACCTGTAAATCATCTTCATATTTCGTACGATTAACATATTTAGCTCATCTTCCATTCCATCAACTGATCCATTTTATTTTATATAATCTTGAAAATCAGATAATTACTTGGGTTGCCTACTCTTAGCCACAACCTATTTCATTGAGCTTAGTGGGTTGGTGTATGAGAGTTTTGGTGAAAGACTAGGATACTCAGATTAAAATCTGCTATCAGTCTATGAAGTCATCAGTTGTTGAAACTACCTTTGATGAGCGCTAACAGATTTTTAGTTGGATCCTTTAAATAGTCATAGTTTGTAAGTGAAATTGTTTTTAATCGGCCTCAGTGAAGAATTTGCATTCTTTTTACAATCTTCTATTGTATATAGAGTTTGATTATTAGTTCATATTATCTGTTTCTCTATTTAATTAGTTGTTTTACCGATTTAAGGATGTATAACTTTTCTTTTCATCGATATTCGTGAATGCAAGGGTATTTAAAAAGTAGACATTTGTACCTGGAAGTTTAAACTTTAATATAAGTTGTCCATTTCTTAGTACTTCTGTCAAAAATAATTTTTTTATAGATTTATCGACCACTTAATTCTGTACAAGCGTTGTTTATCAACAAAGTACAGTTTTGTGTACTCGACATTAGGCCACATGTTTCTGAACAGGTTAATGGCACTATCGGGTTCCTGAAAGTCAAGTAGGTGTAATGAAATACATCTTGTGAATACACAGAGATGATCTGTTTAATGACTGGTCAGTCAATAAATGACTAGAATTTAAAATAGGATTGTCTCAATCCAGTTTACATTCTTGATGAGATAGGTTACTTTGTATAACATTAAGTCTCTTAACACGTTTGTTGGGTTTGTATCAGAGGGGCCTTGAGAACAGGGATGAGAAACTGTCCTACCACTGACCTGATAGGTTGGCAAGTGGAGAGTGAGAAGACGATTTAGTTGAAGCTGTTATTCAATTTATTCCTCCTTCAAGTGACTCAAAATAGATACATGAATAAATAAATGATTAACAAGACCTCAACGTACAAAGAATAGGGAAAATACAATTATAGGACATTATATTAACAAAAATGGGATACAGAGGTCACGTTTAAATTACAGTAGTTTTAGAATGGAAGAGAATATGACGGCAATCTATACATTAAACGAAAGTCTATGATTCACAGAATAAAGCAGGCACAAAACAAAAATCTAGTACTGTATAGATTTAGGATTAATTGAGATCATAAAATTTGTTTTTGCTCTTTATCATAGCTTTGCTATTCCACTCTTCACAATGACTACTAAATCGGTATATATATATATATATATATATATATATATATATATGGAAATTTGTCTTGCATGTTTAGAAAGCCATTTCGTGCTGCTTATAGTGTAAAATCAATTCTGAAGAAACCTATAGGATCGATTTTGTTAGACGCATACGAGTCAACGACTCCCAATTCATCCAGTTGCGATTGCATTCGGACTAATAAATTGTCAAGTCCAACACCTGGTTGGGTGTATTTTGTTGGTCTCAGAGTTATACATTACCTGACTGCAAAAGATTACTTATATCAAATTGAAACTTCGAGTAAGATGTTTAATGTAGCATCTAAGCGCAGATACAGATTAACTTCAGTTTGTTGCGCCCCACTTTACAATTATATTGCAATGCTAAGTTCAGGCGTGTCCACCTTCGTCCCCCTCATCATTTACAATACATCCTCTTTTTTATACTGATTATTCGATAATTAATTCTGACCCGCATGGTTCATGTTTTGTTGTAGATTAAGCTATGAATTCATCACTAAACAACCGTCAGCAATGATTACCCGCTTATTCTACAACTAGCTATCACCACAAACATTTAGTGACAAACGGATTTCATCGAAATGAAACAGTCAGTTGTTATACCTACTGCATTCAATCATAGCTACGTTAAGGCGCACTTTCCATCAGAAAGTCATTTAATTCACTCTGATAAATATAGCCCTGAAACTACTGTACGGCTATACGAAATACAAAGTTTATGGTATCTACTGGGGAGACGACAAGTGTCAGCATCTCATGTTCGAGAGCGTCAATCTCACCAACTTTACCGGCTACTGTAAGCGTGCGAATGCACGTTCAACTAAACTTGGCGAATTAAGCTATAACCAATCAAACTGCGAAGAAATGGAATATGGCTTAGTTTATCAGCTAGTGAGAAGTACTCAAGAGACTGAAAATTTGACCTATTCAACCTAACGATTAGGTCATATTAGTTTTCCTTACTAGACATTGTTGAGTGTTTCATCGCCTACTGATGAATTGGATCAAACAAGTTTATCAGCCACAACGCAGAGTCACTTAGATGAGCTTATTGAGAGGATAGCTTATGGCAAAACAGATGAGGGCGTTTCGCGGAGTATTGCACCTAGCGGTAAACTCAACAATATGGAATATGAGAAGGGTGTGACGATGTTACAATTTCAAGTTCATTAGCTACACAGATTTAAATATTTCGTCCTCCAAGTACTTATCAAGCAACAAATATGATAAATTACGCTCATATAAAACCTCATATTCTCCCAAACTTTCATTTGTACCATTCTGTAGTGTACAGCTCCAATAAGACTACAAATCAATGAAATGTGATTAATCCTTCGACAGATAATTTCAGTAATTTTTATAACACTGATTATTTAAATATACCGAGCAACGTGTGGAATAAAAATAATCACTTAGTTATCGAGTTCAACAGAAGACTTATTCTCTGGTAGCCCTGTACGAAATTTTCAAAATCCATTGTTATCCAGTGTCGTTCACCTTAGTAGTGACGTTTTTACCAGAAGTTTTAACCTATACAAGTTAATAAGATTAAATTCACAAAATAAACCTCTATTACTTAACAACTATCAATCTGGATTTTCAAACACATTACTTGGTCAAGATGTAATTCATAAATCTGAGTTCATATGAGAAACAATATTGAGAACAACATTGTTAAACGGAAATCAATAGTCAACAATTACAAATACTCCTTTTGTGTCCAATCATGATGGCTATAATAAATTAAGTCCAAATAATAATAGTAATTTCAACAGTTCCATGAAAAACTCAATTAATCAAGAAAATATTTTTGATCGAATATCTCGAACAAAATTATCACATACGATTTCATAAGTAGTTTTCATGTTTTTTCAAAACAATTGATTTGTGCATAAGTAGCGTACTGATGTTATTTAATCATACCCTCTAAACAAGCAAATGAATCTTAGATCAATAGTGTCTTTTTATAGCTTGATATAATTTATTGACTTTTAAATGACATTGTAAGTATATATATATATATATATATATATATATATATATACGTAAGAGAGAGAGAGAGAGTACGAAGACACTAGAGATGCTTTTACTGGATATTTACAGTTATGATACTTGTTAATTCATCTAGACTAATCGAAACTAATTTTCTCTTCTCACGAAAGAATATGTATTGTTTTGAAATTGTATACACTATATTTTATCAGTTAAGAGAATTGCGAAAGTCAGTCAGTCAAACAGTTTAAAATCTGGCACACATGTGTATCGGTTCAAGTAACTATACCCCATTAACATAGAGATGAAATTGGTAAGACAAATTTCAGAATAGTAATGGTAGTAATAGTATCAGTGGTAATAGAGATTAGGTATTGAAAATAAAACTCAATAAAATATAAGTCAGTGAAATTAAAACGAAAAGAAGTTATAAGGAATTTAAAATTTGGGAGAAGACAAAGAATGAATACAACTGCGCCATCGTAAACGATTTTAAATCACTTCGTTCAAAGTCTCTAATAATTGATTAAGACAATCACACGGGCCCAAACCAGGTAGTCTACATATATTAACATGGCGTAGTCCAATTGTCGATGACTTCATGGACTGATATCATGTAGAAATGTCACATAAATTCTAATAACAATTGATCAATTTATCCCATTAAATGTGTACATGAACCTTCACATAACTCACTTATTATTTGAAAGGTTTCTCAAGAAGTTTAATGTCACAGAATATCAGGTTGAAGGTACAGGTTTGTTGATATTTTACATTCGAATTAAACTGTACTTCCCAGAATGATTTCCTTTGAATTATCATGTATAGTATTTCAACTCGTTTTTTAAAGTAACCTAAAAGTTTTTAAGATTTTACATGCCACAGGTGAATAAAATAAACAATTTCATTTTAAATGAGAAGAGACAATGCCTCATAAAAAAGGTTATTGAAGACGGATAGTGTCAAAGATGCCGCATTTCTTGCAGACGTGAATTATCAGGCCGCTGCAAGTGTTATAAAAATTTTAAAGAGCGCAGGCAAAATTTTTGGTTATTTCAAAAAAGCCCTGTTGAAATAAAAAAAAACGAGTTGAAATAATATATTTTAAAACCAAATTGATTGATCTCTAAGTAGTGACCAATGTAACATCCGTCCAGTACTTTTTAGTGATGATAGGTTTCTATCGATCAAGGTGTAATATGAACACCAACCTTAGTGATTTGATATTGTGTGACTACAGTACAGTTTTACGTATCTTATACACTGTGTATAAAAATCTGATATGAACATTACTCAGTCAATTTATCTACTATTCTTCTACCAAGAGCATCTCAAAATCATTCATACACAACTCACAACAAACAACGAAATATTTCAGTAGAGTTTTGGGCAAGAACGTTACCTACTATTCTGTACTAGTGACAGAAATATTAGTACAACTCACTCTGTATACATATGAATCCACTTCTCAAATCCCTTCTCAAAGAACAAAATTGCGTATAGGAATATTATCAATTATTCATACATGCTATATGACAATCACAGCCGTTGCGTAAACTTTAGGCATGGATTTCCTCCGTCACAACACCAAAAACAAAAAAGGTTTTATAAGAATTAACTAAATTGGCAAATCTTCACAAAAAGTGAGGAATATAACTAAAGTAAAAATCAAGTGAGCTGTTTTGATAAAAGATCTGAAAAACAAAACAAGAAAGACTGACAAAATAACGAAGGTTTTTAAACAGTAAACCAAAAAATTGTTTTAAATGACAGATAAATATTTGAAATTAACAAGCTCATCTCTGTTGAACTAACTATAGGAATTTGTAGTATGTAGGGGGGTGTTTGTTATATGTGAACGTATGTGCCTGCACACACATAATTTTAACGGTAATGTAGTATCATGAAAAAATGTTGGAGTCAATCACATAAAGATCAATCAAACCAAATTCATATTCACATAAATAAATAAGAAGCATACTTGACAAACATATCACGACTACTATTTAAAACAAATAACAGTAGTATTAGGATTAATAAGTGGTTAAACAACAGTAAAGGAAAGACAATTTTACAAGGGTTTGGAGATTTTAAAAAAGAGAAATACACAAAATAGGTTTAAACCACGAAGACTACTTTTGTTTTCCAGAAATATTTGATAAATGTCCTTGGAACATTGTATAAATGACAATTAATTCAATTTCTGGTTATTTAGTGAAAATACACTCATAATGTGTAATTAGTATTTGTGTGAATGCATTAATCACATCGATGGCAGTCAATGAAGCTTGATTCCGTGACCAAATTAAACTAGGCCCGAATACAACAGCTAAATTAGCTGCATTCATCTTATTTTGTTGAGAATAAGTAGTGACCTGAAATAATGAAAGTGAAAAAAAGATTTTTGTGAAAAACATAAACCGCCACAGATCTTGACAGAACAGTTGATTCCAAATAAAAAAAAAACACTTGATTTCTAACTATCAGAATAGTAAAAAGCATAACAGTCTGAATATAGACGGCGAACAAGAATTAGGATGGATACAAAAATGAATACATAGCCTTTAAGATTTGTTACTGGAAAAAATATAATGATATGTCTACTGATCATAGTAAGGTTGGATTCAGATGTACCGAACGACAGGTATCAATGGTATATTTTATCATGGGATAATGGGTCAGAAAAGGACCACTGGTTGTCGATTGAATAATGAACAATACTATGTTTGACTGGTACTTTTTCTGATCAAAATCTACCGTTCAAGTTTCAATGTAGTCACCAGTCTAAGTTATAACAAGAGTAGGACTATTAATTAATTGAATATGATAATCGTTCACTGTAACGTTTGGTTATTTTCTGATATTTTCTGTTGTGTATTCAATCCAATATGACTTTTGTTCTTTATAGTATTCCTTTAAGTTCTGATTACTTGAATCACTGCAAAATGAATCAGTGAGTATAAGAGTTGTACTTTTCCCTTTTTGCGTACACAGGATAGGCCTTGTATTTTTAATAGTTGTGGCTCGGCCAAAAGTATTGGGGGCAGCGTTAAGGAGTCACTTCATGCGTTCACCCTTGTATTTATATTATTGAGATGTGTAGCGAAAAATAGGTTATGTATAATACTAAGTAAGATTTAGCGAGTTCGAACTGGGTGACGAGCATCGAACCGTTCAAGATTGTGATAGATATGTCTGGCGAACAAGTGTTAGATAAAACCCAACAGATTAATACTACAAATCATAATTTTCTTTTTGATGTAAAATCGTTTATGGTAAAAATTTAAACTAATTAGTTTTATAATTTTTCTGGACTGTTGTTTCATATTTCGCTCATTATTTTTTCTATCTATAAAATTACATTTAGTCTGTGAAATTAGTGCGTTCTCTTTTTGAAGGATTTAGAGCGCATAAAGTGTTATATTGAATCCATTTTATTTATTTTATTATTTGTATAAATGAGGGCCAGAATATAGATGCATTAAACAAACAGGGGAATGAAATAGTAGAGACAAAAAGAGAGATAAGTATTATTAAAAGGAAATAAATAAATAGGATAGTATATAGTGAAAAGAACAGTTCATTTAGAATACTTTCAGTTGAGTTTCTTTTATTTTTATGAAAGATGTAAGAGAAAATCACGGTATGATAGCCAATGGTTGAGCCATGTCTGATAAAGTCTCAAAACCGTGAGTTGATTCACTTTTAAAACTCCCAGCCAGGGAGACGAGATGGTCCAACAGGTTTAAATTACATACAGCTTTCTTTCAACTAATGGCGCACTGGCATGAACTGACCATCTCTTCGCCTTTTACACACAGTCCCTAAGTCGGTAAATAATGCGCAGTATGAAAAACATTAGGATGACATAGGTAACAAATGTTAGGGTCGCCGAAGTCGGTGTTTCAAAATGATGACACTAAGTGAGTTATCATCACTGTATTCGAACACACAGTACTGAATCTAAACATTACTAACATGATTTTGCCGCTGAATATCAGTAATCCTACAGAGATAACGATGATAGAACACAGAGTTGTTTAACATTCTCCGTTCGGAGAGACCAGTTTCCAGAGCAAAAATGAATTGAACCCGCTGAATACTAAAGCTTATTACTTGTTATTTCACCTAACAATAAAACAAATATTTATGATTTATCATTAATAATGATCAGGTCACAAATGAACTATAATATTTCAAAAGAAACGTCTCACGTACATACATACATCCGAAAAACTCACTAACCTCTGTTAAAAATCTTATTAGGAAATTTAATATTTCGTAATTATCGTCAGGTAACTTCATAAGAATTAGTTTTTTAGCTAATGCAACTTTTTCTTTGGCACCCAGACCTTCCACAATTTCAATGAAAAAAGAGGGAGAAACAAAATAGATGTCTATTCTATGCAACAAATAATAATATGGATTTGATAAATACATAATAATACCAATAGTAATAATAATGATCACTAGCGCTAATCCTGGTTGGTCTTTCGACATACATATCCTTTTTATCCGTCCCTATCTAGTGTATCGTACCATATTACTTTTTAATATTCAGTAACTAAGGTTATTGTCAATTATCTTTTGCAAATACTGCTTAGGATGTCTTATTTGCTATAGTAGGGAATATTTTTTAAATGTTTATATGTGTTTGCAACACAACCCATTCTATCATTGGAATTACATTTATTTGACAACTTTGGTAGTTTATCCTTATTTCATAAGTGTTTATTGAACATATGTTTATTCGTAAAAAACTACATATTTGATTTTAAGAGTTCTTTTTTAAATTTACTGTCCAATATCATAGACTATGACTTAACTCTACATGGTGTTCTTCACGTTATCGACACACATCCTTTTTGATCAATGCTATGAAGCATCATATGTTTTACACACTTCCTCCGAATAGTATCAAGAGTTCGGACATAATAGTGTATGGTTGACATGTGGATCACATCATTATTCAGTAACATTTAGTTAGTCAGTTATGTTAATTAATTAGTTTCGAAAATAAATTACAAGATTACTTACCACTTGTACCTAATATTTCATCATACAGTTCAAATGTTAATAATGGTTCAGTAAGTTCACGTAAAAATGATTTCAATAGAACAGCTGCCAAATGAGGATCATCATAATCTCGTAGATCGACAGTTTCACCTATAATTTATCATTATTTACGGGAAAGTAAAAAAATACATACAATATAATCTATAAAATTAACAACACGAAAATACAAAAACCTTACAAATCAAACTTCACACCCATAACATAAACTAATGGTTATCACGATACCGAAGATCCGTGGAAAACGCTTTGCTGTTTGAGTCTAAGTTCGAGTCCAAGTGAATGCGAATACAGAAATGTAGGTACATCCAGGTGACGAGTCCCAAACAAGAAGAAAAAATGTATCACAGATTCCACTTCTGGCCACTGTCCAACTTTAGTAGAAACTTATGATTGAATGATAACATTGAGGCAGTGTGTTAAGGATATACACACATATACCAACAGATAACCGATTAGAAATAGTTAACAACAAGAAATAACAAGCCCTCATCCATAAGGTACACAATGAAAATAGTTTAACAACTATTTCAAAAAAGACATACATATATAGATATTTGAATAATCCGATATGTGAAATGTAACAGGTTAGTTTTAATAAGATCATCCATTCAAATTTTTCGTATATATTATATCGAAACTAATAAATAGGGAAACATAATGAAGTCTGACTCCATTGAAATCCTGAACCGATCTAAGTTAAACAAACACTGGACAAGTAAGAAGCCGTGCCGGATATGCGGCAATTACTCACCGAAGACAATGCAAGGTGATAGTGCAATGTCGCGGATTGATTTAAGTCAAACACTAACACAGATGGATCCCATTCAGCTCAGTGATTAAAAGGTTAGCGTTTGCGCGTGAGACCGAAGGTCGTGGGTCAGATCCCCACATGCGGAGTCATGGATGCGCACTGTTGGAGCAACCAATACTAGGACGAAACACCTGTCCAATGCCTCCAGATTTCCATTGGTTGTCTAACTTAGATCGTTTCGGGATTTCAATCAAATTCAATAATCTCCGTAACTCCATACTTATAAAAATCTATTGTTGGGAACTGAAAACGTTTTGATTATCTTTTTACGAGAAAATATGTTTAACTAGTATGCTTTTCTACTGCCGAAGCTGTAGTAAAATGAACTGTTATACATACAATAGACGGCATAGAGAAAGATTAGATGTTACCCATTATTATATTCAGTCAGTCAGTCAGCTACAATGTAGGACCAGGCACATATATGCATCGGTCCAAGTTGCCATACCTCCTTAACACAACAAGATGGACAACGGATTCATAAAAGCAGTTAATTCAGAGGTGGTAATATACAAAAGAAAGATTGCAATAAGGATATAGTACAGGGAGGAAGAATTAGTTCGTAGAAAGAAAGATATGAAGCGATTTTAATCTCTTAGTTTAAGGGAAGACAGAGAGTGTATACACCGACGCCATTGCGATCGATTCTGAGCCATGTCACTAAGAGTCTCCAACCATTGGTTACGATAGTCACGCGGACCCCAACCAAGTAGACTGCATCTACCAACATGGCTCAGAACAGATGTTAGTGACCTCAAGCACTGATGCCATGTTTCGGTTTGGCCGCCCCTAACTTTCTTTCAACCATCCCGAACACCGGTTAGCATTGCACGTCGTGGTAATCGGTGTTCAGGCATACGTAACACGTGGCCCAACCATCTCAGTAGATGAAGATTCACAACCTCATCAACTGATTTGCCATCATTCCCTAATACCCTGCGTCGAACCTCACTATTACTTACCCGGTGATCCCAGCAGACGCCAGCAATATTTCTAAGGCATCTGTGGTCAAATACTAGTAGCTTACGGGTGTCTTCTACTCTTAATGGCCATGTTTCGCTGCCGTAAATTAAAACAGAACGAAATGCCGCGCAGTATCCTCGTCCTTTTATTGATAGACAGATATCTCGCCTTCGCCATAGGTGACGTAAGTTGGCAAAAGCAAAACGAGCTCTTTGAATCCGTGCTGAGATTTCGTCAGACAACAACCTATTAGGGCTGATCAGACTTCCAAGATAAGTGAAATTGTCAACGCGTTCGACTACTTCACTCCCTATCCTTAGTTCAGGTGTTGACGCAGACCAGTCCTGAAGCAACAACTTGCATTTGGAGGGAGAGAAGCGCATTCCAAACATTCTGGCATTGTTGCTTAGTGCTACCAAAAGACTCTGCATTTTATCAGCGTCTTCACCAAACAGGACTATATCATCTGCGTATTCTAAGTCGATAAGTGGACCTCCTGGAAGGAGATCAATACCCGAGAACTCAGTCGACGAGAATGTTATTTCCATCAATAGGTCTATGATGAAGTTAAACAAAAATGGAGAAAGTGGACAGCCTTGACGGACACCACTTGAGGTTGCAAAAGCAGATGACAGTTCGCTATAAGCTCTGACTCGACTGGTAGTGTTCGAGTAAAGAGCCTTCACAAATTTTATGTACTTCTGAGGTACGCCTTTCAATGACAGACACTGCCACAGAGTCTCGCGGTCTACCGAGTCAAATGCTGTTTTTAAGTCAAGAAATATCATCATCGTCGGACGCCGATAGGTATGCCTGTGTTCTAGAACCTGACGAATGGTGAATATGTGGTCGATGCAGCCACGACCAGGTCTGAAGCCAGCTTGATTCTCTCGTGTTTGCAGTCCACGAGTCTTAGTTAGGCGTCTAATAATTATCGAGGCCAGTATTTTAGATACTATATTAGTTAAACTAATTCCTCTGTGGTTGTCACAGGATAATTTTAACCCTCTCTTATATACTGGGACGATAAGTGATTGTGACCAGTCAGATGGAATAACGTCTAACTCCCAGATCTTAGCTAAAATGTTAGTCAACCTAATCGCTAAAATTGGACCACCATCCTTAAAGACCTCTGAAGCCAATCCATCTGGACCACCTGCCCTTCCTCGTTTCAGATTAACTATCGCCTTTTGAACTTCTGCTAGAGTTGGGGGACCTACTTCAATGTTCCATTCACACTGTCTGGGAATGGAGGGTAGTTGTAGAGTCGCTGAAGACCAGTTGAACTGTTCTCTAAAGTGTTCCGCCCATCGTTCTAAACGTCTGGGCAGGGAGCAGATGAGAGTATTGTCTTTTTCCGAAATAATCTCACTTACACTTGACTTATTAGTTCCACTTTTTTTATTAGTCTATAAAGCTGTCTTGTGTTCCCTATAGTCGCCGCCTTTTCCATCTCTTTTGCTTTCATTGCCCACCACTGCTCACGGAGGTTTCTTAGACTTTTTCTTAACCTAGATCTCATTTGTTGTCGCTCTTCATCATGTTCGGAACCTGATGGGACGAGTTTGCGAGAATCCATCAGTGTGATAGACTTTGAAGAAATCCACTGGTTCTTTGTAACCCTGTGGTTTAAGTCACTAATAGATTTCATTGCTGTTTCCACAGCTGTTTGTATATCTTTCCAAGCAACATCTGGGTCGGCCTCGTTTTCAGAACTACCTAAGTGTGACCTCAGTTGTTGCTGGAACCTACTTTTGGTTTTCTCGTTACTCAACTCAGTTCTAATTGGTCTTTTTAATGTGGCCTTTTTTGCATCCAGTGAGGCGCAAGCAGATGCGTGCCCGTATTAGGGCATGGTCGGAGTCCAAGCAGGTACTCCAGAACGAGCGACAATCTTCTACCGACCCTCTCCAACGATGACTGATGGCAATATGGTCTATTTGAGTCCATCGTTGGTTTGGTGTAGGGGGGCCGCCATGTTAGACGATGTCTTTCCTTATGCTTAAAATTTGTGTTTGCTAAAAACAAACGATCGTCTGAGCATAGTTGCAGCAGACGGTTACCATTATCTGTTCGTTGTGCCGGTATACTAAAATACCAACCTAAATGCCTTTCTGTTTGGTTTAAACTACCTATCTAAGCATTAAAGTCACCTGCTACGAGTACTATGTCTGAACGTTCAGCTTTATGAAGAAGTTCAGATAGCTTTCTGTAAAATTCATCTTTCATTTAATCTGAGCTGCAGTCGGTGAGCGTAGGCAGAAACGACGAAAAGGCAACGACGTGTATCCCCATCATTCAGAGTTCTTACGGAGCCGTTTAGCCGAACAGCACATAAACGACTGTTAACGGGAATCCACTCTAACAGTGTTTGTTCCGCCCTCATGCTTAGTGCTATCCCTACTCCTGCCAGTCCGTGAGAGCTGGCCGTCGGGTCACCAGATACACGGAGGGTGTGTCTCGTTGGCTCTCCGTTTTGCCGAGGTGAGGTCAAGTGAATGACCACACTGGAGTCCTGTTTGCGTGTTTCAGAGACACAGCATACATCAATGGTACGAGATTCAAGGGTTCTAGCCAAGGAAACCTGTTGACCGATTTGACATATGGTGCGTACGTTGAAGGCTCCAATGTGTAGTTTGGAGCGAGGTTTCAGTAGACTTTGGACAGTTTTTTGAGTACTAGAATCGTTGGCTATGGTGACACTTGAGGGGGAAGCCGAAAAAGGAAGTTTAGAGGTGGAAGTCGATGTAGGAGGAATATTAGGAAGTGAAGACGGAGGTTGATTATGAATACAGTGGTCTTGAGTGCGGTTATCACTTCCCGGTTGCCCATACAGTGGAAGGGTTTTTCTGGAGGTACCTGAAGAGGAAATTCGATTAGAGGTGGTCTTAATGAGTTGGGAGCGTGACCACAGTGCCCAAGGGACAACTGCTTGAGGTCGGTCACACACGACCTTTTTATGGGTAGTTTTTGTGTTAGCTCCGTACTTGTTGAAACCTTACCACCGTGAGATAAGGCGAGGTGTGCATTTTTAGGGTCGACCTTTTCTAACCCCACCCCTGCTTGTAGGAAGGCAACATCGCTGTCATGCTGGTTGTCTGAAGGAAACACCTTACTGCTGTCACACCTTGGGTTTGTTGCTTTTAGTCTTACCGCTTTACAACCGACCTGTCTGACATGGTAGGACCTTGAGGAACGGTTGTTCCAGCCAGTATAACTCGGTTGCTTCATCACTATAGGCAAGCCCGACCACCACGTCAAGTAGCAACAACGGTCGAGCCATTATTATATTGAATCTCATCCTTTTCCCTACCATATACATATTTGATAGTTGCTTCAACAACCGACTTAAAAGTTTAACAACTACGATACTAGCTATTATAATGTGTCTTCACTTTGATCTTGACCTTTAAAATTACCTTATACTTTTGTTAATTCCGCTAATTTATTTTTTCCTCTGAAATCACACTATTTACGCTTAATGTTCTATTACCACTGATACTGTTACTACTCCCACTACTCTGATATTTGCCCCTGATAGTTTCATCTTGATATGTTGATTTTGTGTGGCAAATTGGACTGATGCCTATTTGTGGAAAGTTCAATGTTATTTATGACAGACTGAAACCCCTCGTATATTAGTTGAAAAACCCTAACTCTTTAGGACCTAATATACAAGCAGGCTAGTTAGAAAATGATCAGGCTAAAATCAGGAACTTAAGGCCTGGTAGCAACGTTGTACTACCAACTCCATAAGAGTGTAACAGCAGTTGGTATTTCCAACAAACCACTAGCATCCTCAGAGATATTGCTTTCCCATGAAGAAGGACGGGGTTAGAGTATGATGGTCGTAAAAACAGAACACCTGACCTCACCACACAGATTACCGTTGCTGGAAGTAAGGGCTTCAATGTATAAAAAAGGGTGTGTGACCAGACTGAAATAACTGTCCTTTAGGTTCTACCATCACACATCTAGGTAGTCAAAATCACTACCAAACCAATTTCCTTTAAAGGTGCCTTAAGAAATATCCTTCCACAGTGTAGGTAACTGGGTAGTGATTACCATCCATATATTTCTAACAATGAAGACCAGAGTAATCGACTTTTAATCACTACGCTCCATTGACTTCGGTTTGTTTTAAAGAGTAGCGATGCCAGTAGGCTTCATACAAATACTGTACCTCGAATTCAAGTGCATACAAACCTGTATTTAGCGAATTTTCCAGATTATAGCTGATCAAAAAAAGAATTAAATGAAAATATCAATGATTATGATCTAAATAGAGTACTTTAGAATAGATGTCAGGCTGGTTGGTTAACAACCGTTGAATATCTAAAGTTAGAAACCAATTAGAGCTTGCGCAGTTTGGACAAAATGAGCTAGTATCACCAACTTTTATAGGAACAAAGTTGAGTAAACAAATCTGTACATGGACACATAGTTGTATTATTCCAAATAATATTTGTTATAATCTGTGAAAAAATGATACTTCCCACAGGAAACACTGAGATTCGCACAACTCAATTAAGAACACAAATTTAACAACTGAAGTAAGAATTATTCATCCCCCGAAAAACACGACAATTCCTTTATCAAACTAAATCCATTTATTTATTGATTTTACTGACATTTGACGATTAGTCAACGAATATCACTTATAACTGAAATATGGCAAATAAAAAAATAGATTTTTCACAGAAATAGTACAGAAAGTATACTATCAGTTACACTCTGCACAAATGTCACATTAAATAAACAAACATTATATTAAGTAATTATCCCATTGAAATGATATAATACACGGAAGTAATACTGAACAATAGTTAATTACTTAATAATTAGTTAAAATTTGATCTCAAATTTGCATTTCATCCTGACAAATCATATTTATTGTAATCCATATGCAATGTAAATTATTGTTGGTTTCAATATTGTCTACAACTATCACCATTGATTAGAAATTTTCTTACTAAAGAAAATATTGTTAGCTTGCAAAAAGGATTCCTATCATGAAACACGTTTATATTTTTGTAATATTTCATTGTTTAGGAAGGAAAAAAACAACTCACTTCTATACCACTAACTACTCGAACAAAACACAATCGATAATCGGCATTATTTCTACCTATGTATTTATGTATGTAAAACTCCACAAGAATGGAAATATTTTACACATCTGTATGCAGGTAAACTACACTGTCTTATAAGTTATAAAAAATAACTTGACTGTAATGCTGATAGAAACGGAAATACGTAAATTAAGGCTATTTGTATTGGAAATTCTAAATTGATATTGTTCTGGGATAGGGCGTGACAATTTCATCTCTCTGTGCTGATTGTGTATGGCAACTTGAACCAATGTACAAACGTACCAGGTTCCACGTTGCGACTGACTGGCTGATTGACACTGTTCATATAACTTGAGCATCTGGGCTACCTGTTCCTGCCATCTAGATATTTCAACAAGTTATCTATTGTTGTTTGTTTTAATATATCATTATGTTTATTAATCGCATAACCTATTCTGCTGCGTTTCTGAAAAGTGTACAACCTTTCGTTGTCAAAGTTACAGAAAACTCAATAAGAGACAATATGGTTGCTGGCAATGTACAACGAAAAGAATGTACATTATTCAATTGTTCATTCACTGAAGTGCTAACATCTAACTGGCGATTCCTCAATATTTATCGCCAGGACCGACCAAGAAGAAAGAAACGGAAACTTGTTGAAATACTTTGCGCTGAGAATTCTATATTGTACCAAAATTATAATATTGAATAAAGCTAATAATAATAATAATAATAATAATAATAATAAAGGGAGTTTACCATTATTATATAAATTCTGTACATCTCGTAATTGTTTCAGACTGACAGATCGACGGAAGATTCCTTCAGTTGTTAAACCTAAAAGAGTTAACAGAGAGAAAGGAATCAAGTAAACGCTTAGATTTTGCGTTAGTTGACGCTCGTAAATAGGTATAACTGAAATATTGATGGAATTGATGCTCCCTGTGGGATTTGAGTCTAGGTCATTCTGAAACGTTGTCACAGAACTGTTCGAGGTACGACTGACCTGCCATGAAATTAGATCTCTACATCGATTGGTCATCGAGGAGTGGCCAATATCATATTTATCTGGTCTTTTAGTGCTAATCCAATGCTATAGACTAGCTAAAATTAGTCAATTTGAAAAGAACAGTTCGATTGACTGAATTTGGCTATGTAATCTACCGAAATCCCTAAACTCTCTTACAGTTTTGAAATTCATGCCTTGAAGAAAAACATGTTCAACTGCTTTAATTCATTTTATATTGTTTGTTCGAATCTTCCCATTGACGTTTAGGACTGCAATCGATCAGTCTCTTATTTGGATATGTGCATCCTATGCGGATTGCCTCGATATTGCCTTGAATCATAGGCTTTATAAGCAAAAATGGAAAGTGGCTAGCAGTGGGATCCACAACGTGTGTTCCGTCTTATTTGGGACTCGTCAGCCGGATGTACCTGCACCCGAGAATTGAAGATCCAAACAAACAATCCAAAATGAATTAAAACTTTACTTCATTACACAAGCTAATGGCTATCACGACTCGGTAGCTAAGTGGATAATGCGATGGCGTTTGGAGCGAACGGGTCCAGGGTTTCCTGTTGACTACCTCCAACCACCATCTAAATCTCAATACATAGTGCCCGCAGTGTCGAGTCACCTAGACTGTTGGCCACATTGCAACATAATCGATAGCATTCGATCTGCACTAATAAGGACTAGACAAGCATGACATTGATCACCACCCAGTGATCAATCAATTGTGATTATATCTCAGTCCTACAGGAGGTTAGTCACGGCTCGGATAGCTCAGTGGTAACGTCTCTGACTGTGAAGCTGGGTGACACGAGATCGAATCCGCCAGGGAGCATCAGTTCCCTCAAGATTACAGGTACACCTTGCTGACGAGTGCCAAGTAGCTCGAAACCCGGGTCCAGGGTTTCCTGTTGACTACCTCCAACCACCATCTAAATCTCAATACATAGTGCCCGCAGTGTCGAGTCACCTAGACTGTTGGCCACATTGCAACATGATCGATAGCATTCGATCTGCACTAATAAGGAGTAGACAAGCATGACATTGATCACCACCTAGTGATCAATCAATTGTGAGTAATAATAATAATAATGTGAACACAAAGCGAAACCTAATCACTCTGGATAATAAGTCAATATTACCAGGGTAGGTTTAAGGTAAGAACCAGATTGTTCGAAATGTATTGCGCTAATATATCACATAGTTCTGATAATCTTCGTCTTCTAATATCATTATCGAAATTTATCAAAGGGACTAATTGTTTTACATTTATGTACGATTATGTGTTATTTATGGATGAATGATTGGAAATACTTTTGATCGAGGAATTTATTTATTTGAACACATAAATATTGATACAAGGGAGCACCAAATATATATGCGCCATACAAAACAATGAGAATGGAAGGAAAAAAAGAAGTATAACGACCACAGATTAGTGTAGGGTAGTGTATTAATAATAACAATTACTATTATTATGGGGGAAACGGAAAGATACAACCTGAAGAATTCTTTCAGTTAATGCAGATACAACCACTTTTTATGAAGAAAGTAAAAAAAAAGCTACAGCAGGACCGCCACTGGCTTCTATTCTGAGCCATATCTGATAACGTCTCTAGCCACTGTGGAGCACCATCTCTCAGACCCCAACCAGGGAGTCATGAAGAACCAACAGAAGCCAGTCACGCACAACTTTCTTTCACACCACGACACCATGTCATACACTGACTACCTCTCAGTTTTTTCCAACTGGTCCTAGAGTGGGCAAATAATTCACGACGTGGAATTCTCTGGGACGACATTCGTAGAACATGTCCAAGCCACAGAAGTCGATGTTTCAAGATGGTGACATAGATTGTATTATCATCTCTGTGCCCGAACACACGATGCCGAACCTCTGCATTACTGACATGTTGTTGCCACTGGATGTCAGCAATCCTTCGGAGACAACGATGATCAAACACAGAGAGTCGTATAACATCCCCAACTCGGTAACTAGGTTTGACAAGCATAGAGCAAAACTGCTCTCACAGACACGTTGTTGACCCGATGTTTTGCAGCCAGACTAACATCACGACGGCAGAAAAAACGTGGCCCAGATTGACATGAGCCGCTCTGGCTTTCACTCACGCCACCACCAGCACTTGTGCAGCTACCTAGATACACGAACTACTCGACTACTTCTATCCGCTCACCATACAGGGTGAGTGCAGGATCAGGGTCCTGCCAATCTTGTAGAAGTACTTTGCACTTCGAAGGTGCAAAGCACATACCATAACTATGGACACTAATTGACAATTGATTAAGTGAGGATTACATGACTTGAGTATTATCGTGCAGTAAGACAATATCATCCGCATACTCAATGTCGAGGAGTCTTTCCCCGGGCAACAGATCCACACCACCATTACTTACATCCATCAGAGCTGTTCCGAGAACGTCGTCGATAGCAAAGTTGAAGGGGAATGCTGGGATTGGCCAACCCTGTCTAACCCCACTGCTTGAATGGAACAATGGAGAGAGGTGATTATGTGCCCTCACTCTGCCTGAGGTGTTTGTATATAGGGCTTTTAAGATGTTAATAAATTTCTTAGGCACACCCTCCTTTAATAGACAATCCCAGAGAACAGTCCTGTTCAACGAATCGAAGGCAAACCTTATGTCAAGAAACACTACGATTGTATCAGTACTAGTGCGATGTATTCATCGTGTTTGATTTCAAATAAAAGCACACTACAAAAACTAAAATCTTCGAGTTTTTGATGATTTTTTCTGCCGCATAACTAACGTAAAGGTCAGTTCATGATATAGACTATCAACTCAACAATCTGGATAACTCACTCGTACTTAATATAGCTGTTATAGCCATATCTCCGCTATTGTGTCCTCATGAAATATGGGGATTCTGCAGAGCAAACGTGGACTCACCTTGTTATCCCTCATTTATTAATATTTTATTCTATGTGTGTAAAAAGCAAAAATATGATATACATATTTTACTTTCATTATTAAGAAAATCAAAGTACCACATACCACGATCGCGTAGATAATCGATGGTATCTTCAAAGACAATAGGAATAGGTCGACCGCCGTTATTCATTTTGATGCTAATATAAGAAGAGAGAGGAAAGTACAATGCTTCAATCCAAAGTATATATTCTAATTGAAATCAAAACTTTGTTCAAGCTATGAAGAACATAATATACAACAATAAGCATGCATTATATATATATATATATATATATATATATATATATAAACCGAGTTCGATGAGAGGAAAATAGCAAGTGAAGAAAATGTGAGATGGTTGCGCAATGTCATGAAGTGCTTAAAGTTAGATATGTACACCATTGGATCCCAGCCCAGTGGTCTAGAGGTTAAGCGTTCGCGAGCAAGACCAAAGATCCTGCGTTCGATTTCTGACTGCAGGGTTGTAAATGTGCACTACCGAGGAGTCCCATACTAGTGCTTTCAAGATTCTAATGGTTATCTAACTTGAATCGACTCGTGATTTAAATGAAATCCAGTAATCTGCACAATTTAATACCAATATATATTTAAACGTTACATACTTACAATTGTAAACTAACATTAAATTGTTGTTGAGGATCTGGAGTAACATCTTTGCACTGTTCTTCAAATACACCAGAGAACACTGAAGCAGCATCCGGCAGCGATGGTATATAAGGTGTAGATACTCGAGCAGTAGAACTGAAATAATATAAGATAACAAGAATATTATTTAATGTTGTGTCAGAACTTTAATATACCATTTGATACAGATATGTGTGAACTCTAGTCCCCACAAATTACTTAAGTAACTTATTTTACTAAGTAAGCAATTATGTGCTCGCTAATGAGTTAGTGCTTATGACATTGTCCGGTTGCTCAAAATGAAGAAGAGTTGGAAGAGTTCAAACATGGACCGTAGTGGCTGAATGGGAAATCCCTTTATTCAGTAATGTGCAACGTAGAACCTGACATATATTCATTGGTTCAAATTACCATAGCACATTAACGCTAAACAACTGTATTGTGATGCTTGGTGTTCGGGATTGATGTTAATACACAAACTTTTTATTTTCAAGCCCCTAACCAGGTACTGAATGAGAAGGCTAAAAGTGATGAAGGGAGTTCATTAGAATAAACTGATTCACATGCGAAAGCACACCTCAGAGAATCAAACTTCATGGCCAATCACATCTAATTGCCATTCGGAGGTTTTTGATTGGTCAACTATGTTACACTGTCATCAGCATGACTGAGTAAAGTGTGTAATTAAATGATAGGCTGGGCGAGTATAGAGTTATAGCACGCCATCTCATGATCAAAAGTTGAGACATCATAAACGACACGCGCTATTGAAAGGAATATGTCTGGCATCTACTGAGGATCTCAGCATACACATCCACTTAGTCAAAACGACAATCGTATGTGTACTAATAATTTGTGCACATTACAATTTAGTGTGGCAATCAAATTTTCCTACCAATTTCAATCTTCCCTTTTGCAGAGTGGGTTTGGTGTATTGTAGGAAGCCTATGTAGTAAGTGAATCGAACGGCAATACACAAAATAATTAGTTATGATGCCAGAGTTTTTTTACTGTGATCTGCATATTAAAACTGTATGAAATATAACCACGGTGAAAACCCTCAAACCTTAAGTTAGTACTTTCAGTCTTTCCATTTTCTAACAGAACTGATAGGACTGAAAGGAACACGTGTTTTATCCAATATATCTCTATCAAGTCACAGTGATAGGCAAGCCCGATCACCACATTAAGGTAGCAGCTACAGTTGAGTTCACATAACAGATTGTAATAAATAAAATAGTGAATTAGTGTTTAAATGACAAAATATCTACATAAGAATGGGGACATTATGCAATTGTAGTAAGGGTTTTATTAATTACTCACGACAGTATAACTGGTTCCCAAATATTTTAATAATTTGATCAAGATAACTTATGGACACATGCAGGCTATTAATGAGTCATGTCGAGCAATAAATGCAATGAGAGGAGTAGAATTGAAATAATAAATTTTATTGACAATTTCAAGTATTACATGTGATCGTGTGTATTGGATTTCTAATAATTAAAAATTTAGTTTTAGTTCTAGTGCATTATGAATGGTCACACAAGTACGCAGGTACATTAACGTCTCGACTGTTTCTAACACCTAACTATGGAGGACGATGGGTGAAGACACAAGCCTCCTGCCAGTTTTATACATAAATATTATGATTTGACGATGTCATACTTATGGACATAGTACAGTTTGTGAAATAATACTAAACCCTAACCAAATACACTTCAAGCTGAATGTATCCCTGCATTACAAGACTTATGATTAAGTTTAATAAAAGCTACTCAGATTAATGATAGATAAAATAGCTCTACCCACATGGGACTGTGATCATAATCTGTACATCACTTATCTGCTCTACTAAATATATATAACATTCTCAAAGTAAACTTTTATTTGTTCATTAAGAATATTAAGCAAGCAGAATAGCCTGACCACGAGATTACGCTCGACGATCGTAAAGGATCAATAGATGACATGACTTCTACGGAAGATTACATAGGTTAAACATTTATGCCACCCCCTTCAACTTAGGTGGAATAAGATGTAAGTAGGCTCCTTATATTGGTTAGAGTCAAAAATCTACAACCATGATTCACATATTTATTTATTTGTACAGACGAGAATACAATTTGAAAACAAAACGGAAATAAAGTCACGTAAAAATGATGTTATTCTTCAAAACTAAAATTAAAAACACGCATTACACCATAACGACTAACCAACATTACTACTCATTTTAGAAAATCAATGACCACATCCATGCCCTAGCAACAAAACCAGGAAAAAATACAAACATTTCTAACCGTTTACGGAAACAGATCAAAAGGTTTTGAAATGTGAATATCCCTTGGTTATTGAAAGAGTGCATAGATCATTCAAGTAAAGAATTTATCGCTCAAAAACCAATTAAACTTAATTGTATATAACGATGATTTTTACGTAATTTAAGAGTTTTCTAAAAGTTTATAATTAGGCTTGTTGAGCTTTAAGTTTGCGATATTTCGCTACATGGAAACCCACTAATTCGAGGAGATCAATATCTTAAAGACTTCTCTTTTATGCCTTAAGTCACAGGCTCAGTAGCTAAATGGATAACGCGATGGCGTTTGGAGTGAACGGCACTGGGTTCGAGTCCCGGAGTGAACATCAATCATGGGATGCAGGTACATCCAGCTGACGAGTCCCAATTAGGACGGAACGCGCGTACTGGATTTCACTGCCAGCCACTATCCATCTTCGCTTATAAAGTTTGTGACTTAAGGCAATATCGAGGCCATCCGCACAGGATGCACATATGCAAATAAGAGACTGGCCGTTTGCAGTCCTAAACAAGAATGGGAAGATATAAGCAAACAACACCAAGTAAATTTAATAGTATTTATTATTCAGCACATAAGCGGTGGATAATATTCAGATTAGTGTTTACTTTGAACCAACAAGCGAACAAATGAACTCATTATTGACGTTTTAGTAAGAGTCTGTGTAATTGTTTCATGAGATATTGGTTTAATGTCATATCATTTTCACTATAGGACTGAACAATTTAAGAATTTTATTAATCCTAAGCACTATATGAACGTATCTTCTATAACACTTTATGCAATGTGAATAACTAAGGTGATATTGCTTTCTGAAAGCCAATCTCTGTCAAATGAAGATGTGATACTATCCCATGAGCTCACTGACTGTTAGAACGAGCAATGTATGTGGGTATGTAAGTAAAGAATACTTAATAGGGTGAGCGTGATTGTCGTAACCAATGATCTGGAGATATTGAGTGGAATAGACCAAACTCAATCACAAAGGCGTAGATCTAATTAACAGCTTTTATTTTCGTTTAAATTTAGAGGTTTAAAAATAATTTCTGTTAAAATCCTTAAATGACATGTGCTTGATACTGAAAACAGTGATTGATAGGCATAACGTAAAATTATAATAATGAAAAAATGTTTTACAATTTTGTTAAAAAGGTAATAAATTCACATTTATTGATGTAATTAGTTAATTAATTAATTAGCAATAACTTGCTTACTCTTTTTGAATTTTTGGAATAGATCTTGGTGGTAGATTTTTTATAATAGATTTATCATAGCTTTAATAAATAAATAAAACAAAGCAAACTGATCACAATAATAACAATGGTATTATTAATAATTAGTTAATTAATTAATGAGATATAACACCAACGAATAAAAAGATAGGAGTTACAAATAGCGAAAAATGAATCTCATCTGTTCAAGTAGATTAAAACATTCAATGAAAAGATTTAATTTTAGAGGCACTATTTTCATTCAAGCTGTACAATCACATTTACATGGCACATTTAATTGATAAAGAAGATTTAATGCACATGATAAGGCACGAATTGGAAGAGCAAGTGAAAAATTTCTACAATTGAAGAATAAATGGAACTCTAAAGAATTATCAGTCAACAATAAATTCATAATTTTCAATAAGAATTTTAAGACAGTTCTGTTGTACGGAGTTGAAGTTTCGGAGAACTACTACAACCATCATCAGAAAAAGGTAAAGGCATTTATAAACAGTTGTCTATACAAGATTCTTCAGATTCTTTGGCCAGACACTATCAGCAACGACCTACTGTGACAGAGAAAAAACCAGCTTCTAGATGAAGGAGAAACTAGGAAAAGATAGGGAACGCACTGAGGAAATAATCAAACTGCATCACGAAACAGGCTCTAGTTTGGATACCTGAAGGAAGAAAGGCAGACCAAAAAACACACTGCGCCAGGAATCGAAGATAGACATCAAAACGAAGAATAGCACTTTGGTAACACCTTGAATGGAGGGACCGTAACAGAGCTGATCGGATATCCCTGGTCGGTGGCCTATGCTCCATGAGAAATAACAGGCATACGAAAATAAATTCAATTGAGAACAAAACAGTTAACATGCAGAAGTTATCGTCATAACTACAATGGAGCAGATGGCAACAACTATGTGATGGCAAAGAGAAAGGGAGAGAACATGAATGAGGGGAGTTAAATGGTTTGGTTTCGCAACCAAAGGACCACAAGTTCATACACCGATTCATCAGATTTCTCAGTCTGAAAAGCTTGTTCACTGCAAACACACACAAAAGTGTAGTTCCAAGCAAACTGTAAGAATACATACCTGATAAATGTGCAACATTATTTATCTTATGGAATAATGAATGGAATACGAATTCAGAAAAAGAAACAGAACTAAGACTATATGATATGAAAAGAACATAAACATTATGAAAATGATACGACAAAATGTAAAGGTGAATTGTGGTTAACAGTGGGATTTATGAAGTATATTTAGTCCAAATTCGGACTCGACAGCCAAGAGTACATGCATCCTGGTGCCGATCTCCAACGCCCGTTTCAAACCCATTAACCTTTAGCTCCGAACACCCGAAGCATAAAATACTCAAACCCCTACATATAAATAAGACACAATCTTGGCTAGAGCCATGGTCTGAGTTTATGCCTATAGCATCTATTCAAAAAATAAATCAAGGAATCATATAAACCCCTAATGAATATAAAGTTTAAGGTTTATAATGTGAACAGCTATGGGCTTCGCAGTTTAAAATAATCTCATGTGGACATATTTCACCAAGTTTTGATAAACTGTAAGACAAAATGGACATTAGGAGCAAGACATCATTGGCTACTGAGCATAAATTGAAAGAAATAGCCCACTATTTATATTATATCCTAGTGAAGATTAAACTACGGGTAACTTCTGAGAACTATTAATGGACTAATATTCTATATATATTCTTATTGTATAACTATTCAGTAACTAGATTGCATATATCCATATTCCTCTTATTATAAGCTTTATTTTGACCTATAGACTATTATTATACAATTTACTATTCTTAAGTTATGTTCATTTTATTAATTACAGTCTCCCACGTTCACAGCCATTATTTAGCTTGATCTTGTATAAATGTTATTTCCTATTTTATGGTGTAATGCTGTCTGTTTGGCTGATATATAAACCGAGTATGTTTGAAATAAATGATTCGCGTAGTGGAAGCTGTTATTGGCGTTCTGGACTCAACTGAAAGGGCTAGGAGAACAAAGGGTCAATAAGGACGCTAGGCTGCTCATAACGGTCGAACGTTACTGGTTTGACACAGTATTAAGATTGTATAAGTCGTAATTCAATTGGCGAATAAATCACATGATAATTAGCCGGCCTTAAAATCACAACAATTTAACATGTGAGTAGCTTTCTGTCACTGGTTTCTACTCTGAACTCACTGATTGCAGACTCCTTATAATTGCATCGATTGAGGTACTGCCTAGCGTATACTCTGGCTCTTTATGTCGGTCGTAAATTGGTATTCGGTATGTAATCCAGTCTGTGCATATCGTATCATTCAGTTTATTGGTAGCGAGATATCAGTCGCTAGTCGTGTTATCGTATTATAGTAAGAAATTGTAGAAAACAGAAAATATTTTTATTCGGTCAATATATATCAGTTACAATATGTATTAACCAACCAGACATTCAGGAATAACAAAATGATCTAAGACAATGAAAATAAGTTAGATGCTTTAATTTTTTCTCCCCAAATAGAACTAAGTTTTACATGTGTTCAGAGATGCGCTCAAACAAGAAGAGCCTACACTAAGTACAGTTTTACTTTACAGGAGCAGGTGAATGATAGAGAATAGACCATAAATTAAAACAATTTTGCTATTACCAACTTGAACTTTCTTAACGGTATGTTTTATAATGAATAGTGGTAGGAATGACAACGCATGTGATAAAAAATTAGTGAATTAACAGGTTTGTTTTATTCAATTGTTTATCATTATCTAGTAGAAACTTTAACAAATCATCTAGTTCCTATCAACTGGAAAACTAAGGTATAGACTAACAATATGTAGGTCTATTTTTAGTGTCAGTTACATTTATTGACATAAAATACGATTATATTTAAGTCCAAATTAGACAATATAGATTTTGGTGCAGTTTTATTCTCTGACTTGGATGGTTTAATTGTGAAGCTTTTATTATTCTTCCAAGCAACATCAACAGCATAAACTTCAGGTAGAAGTTTGTGCTCGACGACCAAAACATTCAGTACAGAGAACAAAACTCGACCTAAATCATCGACCTGAGCTACAAATCTCCACCACGTCATATATATAAATCACATATCTCTATACCATAGAATGACAATTTAGATAAATATTTCAGAGACAACAATTTTAGCAGTTTAAAACAATTTCAATAAATAAGATTTCTCTCTGTGCAAGTATGTGAGATAATAGTTACGCAATAGGAGAGGTAGATTTTGATTTAAGTTCAATAGTAAGCGAAATGGCCATGTTTACTTGAATCGACAAATTCACAATGAATGTAATGAAGAAGAATGCCCACATAAACTACAAATAATTATTGTTCATATAAAATACTCTTACTTTAAAACACGTTGTGGTATTGGCAATTGATCAACGAATAAGGTTTCTTCTAATTCAGATAATGCTTCAGCATAAACCACTTTATTTGACATTTTAGAACTGAAATATTTATTTTTAAAATTTGTTTGAAAGGAGAGAGAAGACAGAAAAGTTGTGAACAAGATAGAGATTAAAGCTATTCGCTGGTCAAATGCATATAATACTGATAATAACCAATTTTTTCAGATAAAATCAATTCGACAGTTATATTTATGACATGCGATAAGACATTATTTCATTTGTCAGTTAATGAGTCTTTCTGTTGATGATGCTAAGGGCCGTAACCGATCTATGATCTCTTTTGGAATATGTACATCCTTAATGGACTGTCCCGATTATCATAAACCTTAAGTTAGATACTGAATAACAGTAGGATCCAGGACGCGCGTTTAATCTTACTTAAGACTCGTCGGTTGTATGTACCTGCACCCGAGTGTCGATTTTTATTTCGGGATAGGATAGTTTAGAAGAGATTGCCCATAATGCTGTAAGTTTAAATGTATCCGCTTAAAAGCACACTATTATTAGTTAGCCTTTTTACATAATTCTTTATTAGTGTATCAATACTAACCCGAGATCACTGGAAAGTAAATAGTTTCTTCCTAGTATGAAACTTCTTAGTGGTGTGCACCGACGACCTCACTAAGGTTCAGAATCTGAACCTAAAGATCTTATGGCGAGTACTTAAACTTTAAACTACTTAGATAAAATCCACTGGTTTGCTTTCTAACACTGATTAATTCGTGATGAAAACTTACTACAATTTAAACTAATCTTTACAAAATCTATTTAAGAAAACCGGCTTTTCCAAATATCACATACATCTGAAATAATTAAGCACATAACAGATACGTAGTATATATTATCCACAAATTATAACACGAAGTGTGAAAAACAAAACTATCACGATAGGGTTTTTTATTATCCTTATCACTTTGGATAAGGCATCATTTAATGATACTTTTAAGCTAGTGCAGACGATAACATTGGTGGATGACAGGTAGATGAAAAATGTTAATTTGAACAGTGTGACTTTGACCAACACGTGTTGAAGTCTAAAAATATTACTCGAAAGTCAGTCAGTCAAAAGCAACATGAAACTTGGTGCAGGTGTATATTGGTACAATTCGTCAGATCGAATCCCGGAGTGGTAGGGGTATTGAAGTACTAGAAAAAATTAAGCATCAAAGATACTAACCAAGGAAAAAAAATCAGTGGAATAAAAAAACAGTGATGAGATCCGATACTTAGAAATTAAGAGCGAACGAAAAGTGGATGCATCTATGCCACTGCAAACGATGTTAAGCTACGTCATTTAGAGTCTCCAACCATTGGTTATAAAGATGACGTGGACTCCAAATAGGGAATCTAATCCTTATTTATTTATTTGAACAGAAAAACATTGGTACAAAGGGGCACCAGATACATATGCGCCATACAATAATAATGAGAATGTGAAGATATAAAGAATGTAAGGCGAGTATAAGTAAAAAGAAGTACAACAATGAACAGAATTTGTGTATGATACTGAAATAACAATAATGGGAGGGGCAATTCAATTAGTAAAAGTACAACCACAAAGAATTCTTCCACTTAAAGAGGTGACGTCCTTTTTTATGGAGAAAGTAAAAAAACCTACAGCAGGACCGCCACTGGCTTCTATTCTGAGCCATATCTGATAACGTCTCTAGCCACTGTGGAGCACCATCTCTCAGACCCCAACCAGGGAGTCATGAAGAACCAACAGAAGCCAGTCACGCACAACTTTCTTTCACACCACGACACCATGTCATACACTGACTACCTCTCAGTTTTTTCCAACTGGTCCTAGAGTGGGCAAATAATTCACGACGTGGAATTCTCTGGGACGACATTCGTAGAACATGTCCAAGCCACAGAAGTCGATGTTTCAAGATAGTGACACCAACTGAATTATCGTCTCTGTGCCCGAACGCACGATGCTGAACCTCTGCATTACTAACATAGTGTTGCCACTGGATGTCAGCAAACCTTCGGAGACAACGATGATCAAACACAGAGAGTCGTATAACATCCCCAACTCGGTAACTAGGTTTGACAAGCATAGAGCAAAACTGCTCTCACAGACACGTTGTTGATCCGATGTTTTGCAGCCAGACTAACATCACGACGGCAGAAAAAACGTGGCCCAGATTGACATGAGCCGCTCTGGCTTTCACTCACGCCACCACCAGCACTTGTGCAGCTACCTAGATACACGAACTACTCGACTACTTCTATCCGCTCACCATACAGGGTGAGTGCAGGATCAGGGTCCTGCCAATCTTGTAGAAGTACTTTGCACTTCGAAGGTGCAAAGCTGATACTGTGGTGCGTGCTACTTATATCGATGTAAGTAGTATATGACGCGAGTTAAAAACGCAATGTCTGGCAGCAGAAGATGGAGAAAGATCGAGAAAGGAAGAGCAATAACACAACGCAATTTGTAAGAAAACGCATGAACAATGAAATGTGAGACAGTTGATTGATTTTTGCAACAAGCACAGTCCAGGTTGATAGGATGCATTGATATTTTGCAAATTAACGATTTACTATATGGTTTTTCTACTTTACCAATTAACTTTGTAATTTTGTGCTAAGTATGGTTCGGCTGTCCTCACTTGTGTTCTCTTTCACTACATTTGGTGTCGTTGCCTCCACTAAGGATGAAGATTCCGTGGCCGGAGGAATCTGAGGACGGAGGCGTGCTGAGCCTTCTGAAGGAGTTTGGGGCCGTGTTGGAGCTGGTGGGAGTGAAGGAGCCGAAGGCGAAGTTGGTGGTGCTGCTGAGAGTCAGAGCGGTAGCTGTATATGATAGTTTGGACGGTGCTGGCGGAATGACGACATGGGAGACGGTCACGGAGCGGTTACTGGCGGAGTTCGACAGCCCGGTGGTGACCCACTGGTGCTGGCTGTGGAGCTTACCAGATTGTTACGCCGTGCGCTGCCGAGTCTGGATGAGGAGTCAGAGGCACAATTGTTGGCGTCGCAGTTTATCGAGAGTGTGCCTGACACCGTTTCCAAGCAGCTGAAACTAGTGAACGCAGCGCAACCGATTTATATCTGTGAACTGGCGAAGGTGACCCGTCAGCTGATGACACGAGCAGTAGCTCCGGTCGGGTGCGAAAAGCAGGAGATAAATAATGTCGAGAAGATTGAGGAGCTGGAGCGTGAGATTTCAGCAATACGAGTGAATCATAAAAGGAACGATAAATGTTACGCTTGCGGAGGGATAGGACATTGGAAGATAAACTGTCCAACAAGACGAAGACGTTATAACATGTGTTCTTTCTATCCTAGGAATCTGGGAGTTGTTGCGTTAGTAGACAGAAGGGCAGTTTATACGAGAGTGAACATAAATGAACGAGATTTAGTTTGTCTGGTCGATACAGGGGCAGCAGTATCGTTAATAGGCAAAGAGCAATGTAAGAAACTCAAGCCGTGTACATTAGCTGTCCACACTATAGGAGGCCATATGTTAGAGGTGTTGGGGGTATCTAACAGTATCGTAAAATTGGGAAATGCTGAGATAAATTTTCCGTTCGTGGTAACCACAAGCTTATCGAGACAGATATTAGGAGCAGATTTCCTAAGAGAAGTAAAAGCGATAGTTGACTTAAGAAGCAGTAAGATGGTTACAAAGTATGGTTCATTGCCAATACGTGAAAGTAGCGAAGTGGCTGAAATAAGAGTGGCAGCGGATGTCTCGTCGAAGAAACCGAACATTAACGAGTTATGAACAAAGTATGCGAAACTATTCACTGAAGATGGGGAGCCGTATGGATTTTGACAAAGTGAAGCACGAAATCCCGATAAAGAACGATCGAGTAAATATATTTGCAACACGTCATGTCCCGGTGCATTTAGAGGCTGAGGTAAATCGTCAGGTCCAGGTAATGTTGAAAGAAGGTATAATTGAGGAAGCGGACAGCCCATATAGCTCACCGGTACTCTTAGTAAAGAAACCAAACGGAAAGTATAGATTTTGTGTCGACTTCAGAGAATTGAATAATATAACAGACCTGAAACCTTGTGCAATGCCAACAGTGGTGGAAACATTAGATCGGCTACAGAATGCCACGGTGTTTACAGTGTTGGACTTACGGCCAGGTTATTGGCAACTGCCTATAAAACAGAGCGATCGAAGCAAGACAGCGTTTACTGTACGTGATAAACAGTATCAATTTAAACAAATGCCGTTTGGGTTGGCTGGTGCACCATTTACGTTCAGAAGATTAATGACGCTACTGCTCAAGAATCTAGATAATGTCGAGGTATATAGCGACGATGTAGTTGTGTACAGTCAGACAGAAACAGATCACGTCAAGTGTGTGGAGGCGGTCTTAAAGCGAATTGACGAATTTGGACTTCGAATTAATGAGGACAAGTCGCAGAGAGCGAGAAATAGCGTCACGTTGTTGGGACATAAAGTGGGAAATGGAGAAATAAAACCATTCCCGGAGAAAATCCTTACCATAAAAAATATTGCAGTGCCTAATTCGACAACGACGTCGAGACAGTTCCTGGGAAGAGCGGCATTCTACAATCGGTTTGTCAAGAATTTCAACGAAATAGCAGCACCCCTACATAAGTTGTTGAGCAACACCAAGTTTACGTGGACTGAGACTGCCGAACAAACGTTCGGCCGAATTAAAAACATGCTAGACGACCGTCAGATGACGCTAGGACTGCCTGAACCCGGAAAACTGTTTACAGTAGCCACAGACGCAAGTGGTCATGGTATAGGTGCTGTGTTGAGTCAGGCTGATAGAGTGGTGGAATACACAAGTCGCGTCGTCACACCCGCTGAACAGAAGTATTCAACGATCGAAAAGGAGTGTTCAGCAATCGCGCGGGCAGTAGAAAAATGGAGACCGTACCTTCTAGGTAGACGGTTTCACATTGAGACTGAACATAAACCCCTGCAGTGGTTGAAAACAGCAAGAGACCCCCGAGGGAAGTTGGCGCGATGGATGATACTTCTGCAAGAATACGACCTCGGTATCGGTCATGTCCCAGGAAAGGAAAACGTAATGGCGGAT